CAAATGCGACTATAGTGGACACCCATCTATAATTCGACCCTTTGGAAGGTTATTTAACCTGAACAATCTGTCCAACTGCCTGAATTAAGGACGCTAGTTTTTCTCACAGTGAATCAATTCAAAATAGCGTATTAATTATGAGGAAAACTTTTGTTTAATAAGTAGTATTTATTTCATTGTTGTTCAATGCAAGTTTTCTGTTGGTTTATATATTTATTCATTTTATAAATGTCATCGCCATACATCTATTGTTTTATTCAACAGCTTAGGTTTAGTATTTACACGTGGACAATTTCCAAACAATACGCAACCTTGCTTAAATAGTTATGAACAGACAATTGAATTTTAATGTTTTCTGTTTTAATTATTTGGTTTATAAGTGTATGGCAAAAGTAAACATTTATTGCAGTCTGCATTTTTATTATAGCTATTAAAAATACAAAACAGGTGCGGCAGTCGGTATTAAAGGGCGTAAATATCGAGTGTCCGACGGCTACACTTCCCAAGGGGACCGGAGCATGGAAGTCGGCGCTTTTCACTGTAAACGAGAGTGCAGCCGTGTATAAAGTTATATATTCATATGGTTACATATAAATGTAGGATATAACGTTTCAAGTTGAGTAAGATAAAATGTAAAGTATATTGGATGTTAGATTAAATTCCGGTTATACTTATATAATGATATGCACATGCTAGAATGTTAACAATGTGAGACAAAATGTTTCGTCAATATATCCGCCAGTATTTGAAGCGCCTGTTTGCTTTTTATTTGATTGTTAATTTGATTAATAAGGTCGGATGTTTAATGCAGAATAAAGGGACCCGAAGTTAACAGAGCAACACGGTTAACCCGCCCAAACAAATTAGTAACAACATTAATATATCCTCTGTATCCGCCAACTTCCCCGCAATAAGCAGAATGTATTAGTGTTATTTATCTTAGCTTGAGCGCCAGCAAAGTTTTAATTGCAAGCGCCGATACAATTTGCGTACAAATGAATTTATTCGCTGAATCCGTAGTGCATTCGCGAACGCGAGCGCGAGCGCGGGGGTTACGAGGGGATGAGGTGCGGGCGCGGGACGCGGGCGGCGGGGATTATTCGCGTGTGTCGAGCCGCTAATTGCGGGTAACGACAGTTCCGCCGCGCAGCCTCACACACCCCAACTCGCGCTTCCCAAACGCAATCACCACGCGCCCTTACAGCGCCTGATATTCTAGCCAAATAGAGTTAATGTTTTCCTCTATCTGATTATGCCACGCACGCAATATCGAAATTGAATTGCGCCAATGTTTTGTTACAACATAAATGGCGGTAGTGAATCAAAAGGACAAAATTATACAGGACTTAAAAGGAATAGAAACAAAATAATGCTGCATTGAGGGCAACGGAACTGGCACAGTAGCCAGTATTCGGGCAAACAAAAGGGTGATAGCGATGCGTGCGTAAATCACGAGGCGTACAATAACAGAGCCTCCCCGCCCGGCGCCGCGCCGCCCTGTGCTACCGAACCTCCTACTGCCCGCCGCTTCTATAACCGTCGGATATCATAAATCTGCCATTCGGAGATGGGTTTCCCATGCCCATTCAAATATTTGACGAACCGACGAAATTGGTCATACTGTTTAATCTATAAGAAATTATTTAATTAGAAAGTAAACATGTTTTACTGTTGCCGCGTAATTTTAATAATAACAATAATTGCAAAAAAGTATTTAAAGTTAAAGAAAACAAGCTCTCTTTTTTATTTTTTGTGAACAGAATACACCCCTTATCCCTTCACAATATCATTCAAAAAAAGAGAAACATATCGACAGTAATAATCGAAATTGTGCAGTATGCACAGTTAGTCTTGCCGCGCGGTAACTTGGACGAGCGTATCGTGCACCATTCTCTGCAATTATCGCCACACAATGACCGTATAAATCTTCATGGAATACCGTGTTCATCCTTGCATCTATAGAATTTCCAGCACTAAACGTCCACAAATATATCAGAATATTCCGTTATAAACTCATGCCTTATACTGATTTTCTATTAAGAGAGAGCAATCGATGGAAATTATTAGTCTGGCAAGATAAAACGAAGCCAATTAATAAACACAAATAATCATGATGTCTGTGGAAGAAATAAGATCGGTCGATTCGGATCTGGAGCGCTACCTAATCTTACCTATACGTCTCAAGCCGAAGAACAAACAAGCCGCGAGCTGAGATTACGCTCCGAATAAATCAATGTTACAACGCGTTAAAATATTTAAGCTCACGATTAATGCCGGCTGCGAATTCTCGTCTTATCGCAGTGAAGCGCGCTCGGGGCAAGGCGCAGATGTTCTGGCGACCCGTGATCACCGGGTTCCACAACGTATTAATCTTAACAGTATTCCAAACAAATCTCTCTTATATTTCATTTCAAATCTGTTTTCAAAATAAAATATGAAAAAATGAAACATAGTTTGACTAGTCCGATAAGGTAACTAAACATTTTTGTTTTTCTGCCCACGGCGAAAACCTTCGTTTTACTAGGCTGTCAATTTTTACACTGGTAACAAAATAAACTGATAAAACGAGAATATAAACGCCGAAGTAAAAGTGCCATCAATGTTTAACGAGCTGGCCTACGTCTCTACGCGATTGCCAATTAATGTATAATTTACGCGGATGATTAACCGGAAGCTTATCGTTCTCCGGTTATGTATCATGAAATTGCCATAGAAGTTTTACAAGGGCTCGTTAGGGCGCCTGTTACGATAACCGCGCCAGATAACTGTTTCTAATCAGACGTAATGACACAGCGCCGCGCCGCCTCGCGGCCTCCCCCCGCATCGCTGCCGGAGACAGCGACCCGCGCTTTGCCTCCCCAGCTCTTCATGTCATCTCTTGTTTAACTTACATATAGTTGGGGTAAACACAGCCCCTTACCTATGTATTAGTTTATAGCTCAGAAACGCCAGACTTAAAGCCTGGTAAACTAATTTTCCAACAAAGGGATCAGAATCTAAATAGAATTATTGAAACTTAGTAAAATAGTTTTTGTTACGATCAAAAAATCGATGCAGCAGAGTTGATTTAGTTAACCGTCTTAAAGCGAAGAACTGAACATTTGATTAACAAATGCAAATAGTATTATTGTACTACTATTCATAGTGGTATTTGTAGGAATATATTGAAGAAACTCGAAATAACGAAATTAAATTCGAATTCCATTTCATAAAGAAGTTTCCGAAGCGAAGAGGATGGATACTTTTGATATAACGATATACTGGCGGAAGTAATAAAATAAAACGATTTTACATCTCCAGGGGGAAACGAACGTTTTTGTCGAATGGGAAAAGTAGCGAGCGACTTCTCATTCCGCGATAAAATCGGGAACGTTTTACGACAATCTTCTATTCGATTACCGTTAAACAACAATCTTTAAAAAGTTTTATTCACTTTCTCATGCAAAACTGATGTCGTAAGGGCTAAAGGATGTATTGTGATACTTTTTGCGAATTTCGTTTCTTAAATAAGATTTTTTTATCATTTTAACGGATATGTTTATCTTTCACTTTGCTTAATTTTTAACACTTTATAAGAGGAATTGAATTACACATTTATATTAACCAGTAAAATAAAAGAAACTGGGTTTGATTTAATATGAAAGAAACGAGGAAAAAAGTAATAATAATTATCAAACATAATCAAGTTATATGTTATGGTCCGTTGCGTGAAAAACAACTTCAAATGAAGTTTTCTTTTCACGAAAACTGTTTTTCACGAAAACCGTAACGATCATCGTGCCGAAGGCGATGCGGGCCGATATTTGCAATATGCGGTAATCGCGGCCGAATAAAAAGTAACCGGTCAGCTGCAGAGTGCCGCTCGGTGGTACAGTGTACCCGTCACGTCGGCGAATTTCGTATTATTTCCCTAGGACGTGTCACGTGACCTGAATAAAGTAGGCATCGGTCGCAGCCGCGGCTCCCGCCCGCTCGGACCCTTCGCAAATAAACCGCTTTACGCACGATTCTCCAGCGGAGATTCATTATTCTAACTTTTGCTTACGATATCATAAAACGTAAAGTTTCCTTAGTTATGTAAACCTTTCGTTTGGTGAAGGGCCAATCGCGTTATAATTTTGTTTGAAATACATAGCCAAAGATGATGTCGCAGGAAACTACTAGTGTTTTATATTATGCGCTAATTAATTACTCATATTATATTTGTAGCGAGTTTCTTTCCAAATCAAATTATTATAACATTCTATAAACATTCATAGAACGATATCTGTATAATATGCAAGAGAAGATGAAGTTTATTTAGATAAAATTTTCCGCCAAGGATTACTAGAAATGAGATTATTTGCATTTCTTATTTTATAAGAAAGAACCTTTGAGTGGAAACTGCTTGCCTGCTCTGAGTAAGAACTAGCTACAGTTAAGCTCCGAGAGGGCCAGTTAATAATGACGCTAGAATTGAGTATTATAAAACTTCCTTTTTGTTTCTAGTTACAAATACTTTTATTAAATGTTTAAGATAAGGACGTTTTATTGTATGTTTTCGTTAACATCAAGCTAGAGATAATAGATAAATGAATGATGAGATGTGTAAACGAACCGCTACGCCGTAGACATGAAGAGTACGAAACGTACTCTCCGGGGTTACGGTGTAGCAGTTTATTACACGGTGGGCTCGCTTATAACTACCCATTTACCTCCGGATAATGAAGGACAACAAGCAATGTTATGTTTATTTCAAACAAAGTCCAGGACGTAATGTCTCGCTTGTATACGTGATTCCCGGGTGAGAGACCCCGCTTCGCCATTACACATTCACACAAAAGTAATAAACGTCTCTTTGTTGTGCGCCACACACTTATGTAAGAAACCAAGGTTCGAAATGTTATGTATTCATATGATAGAACAAAAGTTGTATAAAACATATTTATATGTATAATTTTCCTTATATTTTAGTGTGATATTTCCTGCACTTTATCATCTAGAATAGAAAAGTCACCCACCTCGGGTTGCCTCGCAGCGCGGCGTGGTGAAGTGCATTAAATCCATTGTTATTTGTTCGCGTCATATCGGCTCCGTGGTCCAACAGCAAAGTCAATATGTCGTCCCGCTTTTTCGATATAGCGTCGTGGAGTGGAGTGTCGCCTTCTGAATCCTGTAAAAATAAGATAATGTAATAAAAGTTTCTGTTTTTTTTAATAAAAAATAATAATATGCTCTTATATTCAGCCTGATTAATCGGTTAGCTCTACTGCAATTAAAATTCGAGTAAGACATCAAATTTTATTCCAAAGATAAAATATTTTCTTATATTTCATCGCTTATTATAATTTACATTTATTTTTTCCCCTCTAATACAAAACATTGTCAGTAAAAGTCTTTTAAGATTATTTCAATTATTTTAATAATTCAACGTTAAAATAAAAAATAAGAGTAATTCAAAAGCAAATAAATTAAAAAAAATTGTAGACAAAAAGTTTCTAAAGTAACGAGATTTGAAAAAGGTCAAAGGCATTCATTAAAATGATGGAAGGTTTTAAAAAAACGTTGTGTGTATTTTTGTCTATGTTAAAAGTTTACAATAAAATGGACTTGGTATAATACAATACACAAATATTAAAGTAAGTAATTATATAAAATGTTCTTACATAAGAGAAGGCACTTAGGTATTATATAAATGGTACTGGCCATCTTCTAAATATGTAACTGCTTTTACACACTTAGTGGGCTCTGATTTATTTAAAGAGAAGGGTGCAAAGGTGTACATCGAGGTGATCAACGACATCCAAGGACGTCGGTAACATCAGAGGAACTGCAGATGTCTTGTCGACCTTTATGTTTCTAGTAGTCATTAAATTGATTCTGAATTGTTAACTGGAATAAACCGCTTTAGCCGTTAAAGATTATAATGTGTAGTTGAGCTAATGTGCTGAATATTGTTTTTTAATATGAAAAATACGGCAATTCACCTTACAATCTAGTTTGAAACAGAATGAAATTAATAAATGAGTAGCCAACAGGTTGAGTTCGGATAGCGCGCCGTGTAGTGGTATTGTCATATAGCGCGCGGCATCAGCTGTGCGAGAGCGCGGCTGCTGAATTATACAGCAGTGCCCGTCTCGAGTATCGCGACAATTTTCTAAAACATCAAACCGCCCGAATGAATAATTGAGGCGGAGGAGAAGGCGTTTAGGGCGCGGATTATGGAGAGCTGCATAATTTAAAGGCGTCTCAGAGTAGTTAAGGCGAGTGAGCCCGGCTTGGGCGATACGCCGCGTCTTGCCCGAGCTGAATCAAAAACGGTGTCGAGATCCGCAATATAGGGCGAACGAGGAATGGCGCAAAAAGCGCGGCTACCGCGTCATTATCATAATCACCGGCGCTACGCGTAGCGCGCGCCCAGGCCATTCGCTTTGTGAGCGCGCACTAAGAGAGCGCCGGCGACGCGATGCGCTCTGTCATTACACAATTAATTTGCAAATTTTCAAGAGACCGTCAGATGAGAGCTGCTACTTTTGCAAAACAAGCTAGATGTGTTTTTTACTTGCGGTGCAGCGTGTTATGAGTACAATATAATTATGGAGGACATTTCAAACTATTAGAAAAATGCATTTTTTCCTACTAAAAGTCAACAGACTTCTCATGTATTTTATTAATCAAAATAAATATTCCATAACCCAATTCGATGTCAAACAACAATAATTGTTTCGAGTAAATAAAAGTTGTTCAAAAACAGTGCAACATTTTTACAGCAATCTTGTTGTGCAATGTCATGCGATTATGTTGTCAATTCAGCTTGCGACAGAATTTTTGATTGCAATAAAACAGGCAAATATTGCAACAGTAACAACAGTAAACATGTCACGGCAGTTTCATGCAAAATCGTCGACAAGTGTCGTCGGTTCATGTAGAATAATTTGCAAGGCATGAGATGAGATGAGCAAACAAATACAAAACATTCTCTTGACCTAGAATGTGTCCCAATCTAACAATCAAATAATTTATTCACAGTTCTGTTAGTTCAACAAAGCTGTTTTATACTAACTAAATGTTAATTATATAATAAACATTTGTTATCTGCCAATGAATGAGTGCCATGTTAATCTGGTAATGAAACAAATCAATATGGATCCCTGCCAATTTCTGTAGGCAATTGATATAATGTAGGCTCTCGCACAGACGTGGATTAATTTCACGTTGTAAAGCTGCATCAAATATTAATCGTATTGGTTTTTCACAGGGATATCACTTCGTTACAATTGATGCCGTTCTTTTATACGAACGCAGGTATGAAGTGAGCTGTCATTACCATATTTCCAAGGAGTCGAAACTAGTTTTGGTTTATCCGTTTTATGATGATTAGTTTCACAAGTTTCGAAAGTATGGAATCAATTTTGTATGAAGATTATTGCCGTAATTAATTGACGGATGTCATAGTGTCGGACGATATAAACTATCGGATAGGATCCACTATAAACTTTTGAAAATCATCACTTCCATTTATTTAAAAATGCAAACCCAACAAAAAATGTGATAAGCGAAACAACTAAAAATGCGACATAACATTTTACGGGGTGTTTGAAATAAACCAGGAGGACAGGGGTTAGCCGTGGCTTTGTGCTCGAATCAAATAACAAAAAAACAAAAAGCGACCCGCTCTCCAAACAATAACAACACAAAACAGCAAGGTAATTACTCAAAGATAAGAACAACGCGTTAGAAAATGTACGAGGAGGGAAAGGATGGCAGCCCAAGGGGTGCGGTGTGCGGGGTGGTGGGGTGAGGGGCAGAGCTGATGCCCGCGCTGATATCGCAGCGCCTGAAATGTACCTAAGCTTGATTAACCCCCTTTCATCTTTGCAAATTAAATTAATTGAGAATAATAATTAACGCCGCGGACTTTGTTTGCAAGTGCAATATTATTAATAATCAGACAATTATCAGAATAAAGAAATATATAAATAGATAAAAAATAAAGGTAATCTATTCAATTTAAAGACATTTTTACTAATTCTATTTGCAACTACATTTTTGAAAAAATAAACTAAAATCTCATTTGTCAATTATGAATCAATTCTGTCATAAAATAATCAAAATCCCAAGTTGTATTGTAATTATTAGCAAATGTAGTCACGTGTTCAATTCTACTGTAAAGCGTAGAGCAATAGAAAACAGAGCCAATTAAAAACAATGACGTACTTGTATGCTAACATCGCGTATTGATGTTCGTATACTTTTTAAACTAATGGATCTATTGTAGTTATGTAATGGGGGCAATTGCGCTAACCTGAATTTGTATGCGATAGAGCAGAATCATTAAAAAAGTGCCAGTTGTTTTATTCTTTTTTTAATTTCGATTTTTTTTTAATTTAGTTTGAAGCAATCTCGTAATTATCAATGGTTGTTAATTACGACAAATGTTAATAGTAATCTGTCCTAAAACTTTATAAACTATCTGCTTAAATAAAAACCTATTAATTGCTAAAATTATTACGTCACAATTGCTTAGTAATTTTAAAATTATACGGATTATTAAAATAAACATGGGAAAGAATACTTTGTGAAACAAATCTAAATGTTTAGTATTTTTTAATTAAAATGCGTTTAACGTTATCATAACAAAAGAAAGGTTTAAACTAAAAAAGGTAAATTGTAGCAGTGGCATTAAATCTAGAATCCAACGATGCGGTAATAATTCTCCGACACTGTCTTCCTGTCTGAATATAATACAATGCAGGTAGTCGGCACGGCAGCGGCACGGGGGTGCAATTCGCACATCTACCTTCACATAGCTAAGCTTACATTATACTCACTTTAATCTAAAATTACTGAACAACTTCATAAAGATATTATTGTCGCTGTTCAGGCTTTTGTATGATGTGTAACGTTAGCACAAAGAACATTTAATGTTTTTTTTGGATTGGTAATATAACATAAAACGAATAATAAAATAGTAACAAAAACGCATATTTAACTGTTCGCTTTATGTTGATGAAGAAAACTTAAACTCCTATAACGGATTATTAAATTACCAGAGCATTTTCGGAAGTATACATATGTGGAAAACATTTAAATAAGATTAGATTGCGGTCCAAAACATACTTCTATAGAGAAAGCTTATGAAAGCTACCTGCAGTCCTGTAATTCGGATAATACCGTGACTACGTTTTCTTGGCAAAATGTTTGCAATGAAATAACCGTACATTGTAAAAAAATATATAAAAAAATATGTAGTTGTGTGACCAGTTTTTTTAGTTACATCAGACATGGGTCAAAGATTAGGTGAAAACATTGATTTTTGTTGAAAGTATTCATAAAGACATTCAGGCCTTGAATGGGCAGAAAGAAAACAACTAATTGCTTGATTTCCAAGCCATTTAAAGCAGTAATGAGGGTGGATTATTCACGGGCCATATACCGTGGCGCTTTCCCCGCGACGCTCGCGCACATCAATTTGCGTCCAACTCTCGCTTCACCACGATACTTTACACAGCAAATACCACTTAATCTATTAAAACTATGCAATCAAATCATCTTATAAAATTACACCTGGCAACAATGTCACATAAAACAAGTTGTTTTGCTCTATTATAATTTGCGACGATCCATAATAATGTTCTAATTAAATATAATAGTACACAATAAATTCGTTTCATGAAATAAATCAGAAAACAATCCATGGAAAAACGAAACGATTCGTCATCGCAATTCAAATCAACAATGGAAGTTCAAAGCAATTTCTATGATAAATGGTTACTTACCAATTATCGGAGCGGACGAAGTAATTTAAAATTTATGGATATTCCGCGCCAGATAAAATATTTAGCGCGTGGTGAAATGCGGAATTGGAGTTATTAACTGAATTAATTTGGCAATTCATATCGTGCTGCAATTATCGAATGGCTCAAATAGTTAAGCAGTGCAGCGCCGGCGTCGCAGCAGCGGCCTGCACCCTCACACACCCTCATCAGCCGCCTTGATTGATTGTACGGAATTAAGCCTGCGCGCCTCCATGCAAGCGCCTCAATATGCGAACATTAACAATTAAAATTTATTGATGTAAGCAAAATAAATAAGGCTCTTGCATTAAATCCTGTATAGCTGTGAGATTAAAAAGAATGTTACAGCTGCCAAATAACGACTGATTTGTGCTGC